TTGTTTTTATTTTACTTTTTTCTTCTTTTTGCTGTTTTTGTTGCTTTGTTTGATGCTGCTGTCGCTGCTGCTGCTGCTTTTTTTTTTCTATTTATGTTGCTGCGGTTGTTGCTGCTTTTGTTTTTGTTTTTGTATCGTTGCTGACTTGTTGTTTTTTTTATTATTTCTGTTTTTGTTGTTTTTGTTTTTGGTTTACTGTTGCTTTTTTTATTATTTTGTTGTTGTTATTCTTTTTGTTTTCGTTTTTGTTTTGGTTTTTGTTTTTGTTTTGTTGTTGCTTTTATTATTGTTGCTGCTGTTGTTGCTGTTGTTGCTGCTGCTGCTGCTGTTGTTTTTGTTTTTGTTTTGATGTTTCTCTATTCTTATTATTATTCTTGCAGCTGTTGTTGTTGCAGTTGCTGCTGCTGTTGCTGCTGCTGCTGCTGCTGCTGCTGCTGCTGCTATTATTGTAGCTGTTATTGTTTTTGTTGTTGCTATCAATATTATTATTATTGTTGTTTAGGGTTTAGGGTTTAGGGTTTAGGGTTTAGGGTAGGTCTGAGCTGCAATCTCTTTTCTCTTCTCTCCTCAGGGTTTAGGGTTTAAGGTTTAAGGTTTAGGGTTTAGGGTTTAGGGTTTCAGTGCTCGCGTTTCTTTAAGTTATCTTTCGTTCTCCCTCTATATATTTGTTTGTGTTTCCTCTCTTGCTTTTTGTTTTCTTTATATTGTTTATAAATTTTTTTTTATTTTTTTTATTTTTTTTATTTCATCTATGCTACCCCTTTTCACTGTCTTTTCTCTGTATTTCTATTTCTTTTAATATGAAGCTAAACTCAATATAAAGAAAGAAATAAAAACAAAAATAAAAGAAAGGGTAAGCAACACAGACAGAGAATATACACCCAGCATACAAACAGAGAAACAAATAAAAAAAAAATAAAAAAAAAAATAAAAATAAAAAAAAAGTAAAATAACAAAAAGAATATCTTTTTGTAATCTCCCGCTGCTAAAAAAAAGAAAAAAAACAACAACCACTCTAAACCCTAAAAACCCTAACTCCTCAAACCCTAAACCCTAAACCCTAAACCCTAAACCCTTCTCCCCTCTGCAGAGCAGCTGACTGCTCTTCACACTAGAGCAGCAGATGCAGCATATAGAAGAAAATTTATTTCTTTTTATTATTTTAATCTTTTTTTT